CCCCCCCCCCAGTGAAGTTTTATCAAACCTCTGAAAATAGGACACTTACACTGAAACTTATTTAGTAAGGATATGCTGGGACCCTGATAGGCCTGTGCGGATCAGTCAGCTTATTGAAAATTTTTGAACATTTTCGTCCCAGCGCATGCTTTATACATAGGTTCCACTGTATTGCTCACTCACTCTGCAGTGATTTCTGGAGGGCGGTGTTTTCGGCTCTCAGTCTAGTGAGACCTTCTCCCTCTCCTCCTCCCGTCTTCTTCAGCCGAGTCTTCAGTCCCTCATTCTCCTCACACACCTGTCATACACACACACACACACACCGTGGTGTGGATTATGCTATTCACTGGGTTCACAGTACAGTGGAACCTCCGATAAGGGACCCTCTAAGATAGGGACGACCTCTCTACAAAGGACACTTGTTTCAACCCCATGCTAATACTTTAGTGCATTATTTGACCTCTGAAATAGGGACGACCTCTCTACAAAGGACACTTGTTTCAACCCCATGCTAATACTTTAGTGTATGATTTGACCTCTGAGATATGTATAGGGACGACCTCTCTACAAGAGACAAGCACAATAGTGTTCAGGAGATTACCCTGTAATATCCATATTAATTCCCGCTTTTCTCAAAGTTAAAAAAACACTTGCTCATTCATAACACAATACAAGAATAGAAATGTGTGTGTTACCATAACTCGCTGGCTATATTTTTACGCAAGGCTTTGCACCAATGTTGTGTACCAGGGTCAAATGAAGAATGCTACTGTAGCTATACCGATTACTAAGAGCCCTGCAAATAGAACTGAAGGGATGCTATAGCTAGTCTCCTCACTCTGCTGATTTCTTCCATCAGAGTCCTGTTCTGCAGGTTGAAGTCGTCTTCCTGAGACTGTAGTTTCTGCTGTAGACTATTGTTCTCCTCCAGAAGAGACGACATCTCCTGTACCGGGAGTCAGTAGGGAGAGGAGGAAGGGGGGAGGAGAGGGACGAGGAAGTTGTAGGAGGGGGGACAAGGAGGGAGTGGATATAATGTCTTTCTGGGTGGCAATTTGCCTTGCCCTCTCTCTGAACTATGGTTCAAGAGCAGTTTTGTCCCCCACATTCTGAAAGAACCTATTGTTCTTCCTGTTCAAAATTTTTTTGGAATATTCACAAGTTTCGGTAAAGAGACAAGGATGTAGATGGGAGATGAGAGTGAGAGGTTGCAAGTGAGGGAGGAATGGCACAGTTCCAAACACAACTAGTAATGAGGATGGTTAACCTCCGTATAGATACAGAGATATAACATACCTTTGCCTTCTTGCTTCTATGCAATACCTGCAAGTGATAATAAGTAAGTGGCAATTACACCTAAAGCCTTCCCCACATGTTATGTCAATATACATAATATCAATATTCAAGACACACAGTCCAATAGTCACCGAGAATGCACGGCTAGTAGCTAATGTGTTGGTACACGGAGAGTGTAGTGGAGTCAGCCAACAGCCATGCACACACATACACTCAGAGGATCGAACCACTTAGTCAATGTTCTCACACTGAGATACCTACACAAACACAAGCCCCCATCTTCCACCCATGGAATGTAAAGAGTGCGTGTGTGTTAAACTTACTTTATTGGCTTTGTCCAGCTCTCGCCCCTTCGTCTGCAGCTCGTCATTTAGCTGGTCAATCTCTGCACAGAGTAATTTCACATCGCACTCTTTTCTACTCTATTACACCAAACACATTAGTTGTACACTAAACTCTTCCCATGAAAACGAGACCGAGGTGAGGGCACACACATGCTCTGCATTCACCTACAAGTACGCAGGGCCATGGTATGTACCAAGCACAAATTTTAGAGTAAGTTTGGGAAAAGCAAAGTTCATTCTTTCAACGTGAATACACTTTAGCTTCATCATGATCACGAGTGGCAGAAGATGAGTAAAGGGGTAGAATACAATGCCCTTAGGGGCATTACACCCTATAGATTTTAGAGAGTCAGCTATAATTTATACGCTAAGGGATTTTAACTACATATACCCCTTCCACAGTGTGGCTCCAGCAGATCAGCTGGTTCACTAAAAGCCACTTGATATGCTTCAGACACTGTTCATGTCACCCACACAAGAGGCTCCACATACACATAATGTAGGGGATATCCTATGTATGTATGTATGTAGGTATATAAACTCATACACTGCTATATATACCTGATGCTTGCTTCTGCTGTTCTTCTTTCAGCTGATAGTTGGTGGTCCTCAGGTCTATCAGCTGGGACTGCGGAAAGCGAAAGCAAACATGTCCGCTGCCTACCTTGGAGAACTATTAAACGCCCACTCAATGAGATACACTCTTAGTGCTCCTCGTGAATGCCACACGTAGTATTCACGATTCTTATGAGGGTGTTTGCCAGTGGAAAATGTAGTCAGGCTCACTTGCAAGCGCTGAAACTCGGCAGCCTGGATGGTTAGAGTATCTCCTTGGCCGTTTGGACTAGCCATGGTGCCTCCTGTTGTAGCCTGTGACTTTGAGAAATCGTCGATCCTTGTGATCCTTTGCAGTGCAGCAGGTGGGAAGAGATCGGGGTTTTCCTACGTCACGTGCGCCAGTTCTGCTGTCATGTGATAACAATTAACCCCATCCATACCGACAATTTCTTACACGTGTCTTTTTGTTTTGTCGTCTTCTCTTCGTCCGCTGAAGATGGTGAAGCTCGGGATATGTGTCCTACTTTTGGCACTCGCCCTGAGTACGGCGAATGGTGCGTGAGAAATTACCAACGTAGAAAGGCTACCTCATGTGTTCCGCTCACCACCACTACTATCCCGTTCCCTCCAACAGGCTGTACCAACCCGAAGGTAAAGTCCACGACCTACTCTACCGAGAACCAGTATTTCTCAGGCGAGAGCGTCTTCATTGCTCAAGTTGAAGTTGACTGCAATGGAGAGGTACTATATACGTACGTATATACTTACATACAGTAGTATCCCACTACCCTTTGTTACACCTCGCAAATGTCTTTTACTTTTAATTTTTGTGTATAGTCGATATCGCTGCATGCTCTTGTTGGAGGCCAGTTGCTACCTGTGTCGAAAGGCATCACTTCAGGCTCTACGGAACACTTTCAGGTACATATACTTATAACTGTTTACTGACATCCTCTCAGCTCTCAGTCAGACTTTGTGTCTTACAGTAATATGTATGGGTGTCAGTCATTTTATGTGACACTATAATATATATATATATATACATGTAGGTGTCCTGGACAGAGGACCATGACAGGAGTGGTTCGAGAGAGGTCAAATTCTATGATGATAATGGAGCCTCTTCCATCAGGAAGGTTTGTAGATACACTCTACTCCTATATACAGCCTTGCATTACAGTTGAACCTTTGAGTTGGGGGCACCTTAGGGACAATGAGACAACCAAAATACACAGAACACAGGTCGAAGCACAGTGTAATAATGGAAATGTGTCTTCTTTGGAATTCCCATTCTAAGAGTTTCTGTTAATACTGCAACCGTGCAACGGTGTACATGTAAAAAGGGAGACTAGCAAGACAATATATACATAACCGACAAAGGGAGCTATCTCCTACACACCCACAACCCTCCTTACAGTGTGTGGAGCTGCACACTCTACCATAATTCTCTTTTTTACAGGCTCTGAGATATGGTGAAGAGGTCACCACTTCTCCACTCTTCAGTGTGGACATCAAACACAAGGTATATATGGATCACTGAATAGTGGTACTCACTACATGTAAAACACTGTTGATACTGATGACATCACAGGAGGCAAGTTGGTGAAAGTGTTTGTGAGTCCTGTAGTTTTCAGGGTGCAATGGACAATTTTGTCCCTAATTTTAGCTAAAACCTGCATTTCTCAGCCATTTGTCATCATGGCCTACATTTTCTCCTTGCAGAACAGCAGCAATGAGATGTGGTTGTCTCCGGCCTTCCTGGCCATGATCGCAGGCCTCTTGGTCTACTGGCTGGCATACATGGCCAAGTGCAAACTACAGGAGTGATGGAACATCTCTGTGTACAATGGCTCACTCCCTTAGGTTATAATTTCAATGATCATGGTAATGATATTTTTGAGGCATTGTTCTCGCAAACCCAAACATTTTTGGGGAGTTCAAAAATTCGGATGAATGAATCTGGATTTTCACACGTGCCCAGTCTGCCCACACAGTGCGTGTCATGCAAAGTGTGTGTACATAATTATATAGAAAAGTATCTTTATAATGATGGTTGCTGTGACAGAATGCAAAGAGTCAAGAATGAGTGTGTGCTATGTAGCAATGCAAGATGCAGCCACTTTCTCCATTAGTTCTGCTGCTCTCTTTCTCTGCAGTCTCGCTCGTCTCTTCTGCCAGAACAGAGACTCAAACATCACACACAGTAACACTCCATCTACGTATATGTAGGCATCGTACGCACTCTATGCATGAATCAGACACACTCTACATTACGTAGCTGAGTATCATGTACTATATAGCCTGTGACAATGTCCTATCGGTTTCTTGTGTGCGTTTTTTTAACACTCGTGGAGAAGAAAAGGCATGGACCTGTTTGAGCCTCGGTGGGGAGATACTATCATTTCAGTTGACAGGCTGTAGTGAAAGCAAGCCCACTTAGTTTTCTGAACTGCAAAACACTGTCCACACCATAATGCTACATAAATAGGCATGAAACCATCATTGCCATACTTTGTGATACTGACAAAGTATCCATCCACCATGCAAAAAACCACAGACCCAACAAGCTGAATGGCGTATACCTTGCTCTGAGAGACGACACTGCCGTGGACCTGTGTAGTGGTGACAAACTTCCTCCGGCCTTTCTTCACGGCGAGTGGGTTGGGTCCTCTGGGTGTCTTCCTCCCTCTTCTCTTCCCCAGAGGTTCCCTAGTCACACCTGAAGCTGAGTCAAGGGCCGAGATGACCGACTTCTCGTGCTCTGTCGGTTGGACCTTGCTGCTGATCACCTACATAAAACACAATGGAACCTCTTTATAAAGAACACACTGGGACCAATTAGATCTTGCTATATACAGCAAGGTGGTTACCACTGAATGGCTTAACACTTAACCAGCTACGGACACATAAATATCTAGTCCAGAGCCTCCATAAGCCCATAAGAATTTATATGGGGTCATAATACTAGGTGCTAATACTTTATACATCAATTTATGCTTATTTAAGGAGATATCCCATGGCGTCCAAAGGGTTTTAAAGTTCTCACTTTCCCAAGTATATAAAAAATATCCACCCCCTTCCTTACGTCTTGGTGAGCCTTCTGTGACGCGTGAGTGGGGCTCTCCAGTACTATGGTGCTGCCGACTATATGCAAGAGGGGGATACCTAAAGCAGGAATAGAGATTTTCCATTTTTCAGTTCCACATTTCAAACACCACACGTGAATTCACCTGCAGTTTTCCTGAGGCAGCGCTGCAGTTCAGTGTCCTGTGTGGCTACAAAGTAGTGATGGGGATTTCCGCCACCTTTACAGACAGACAGACAGACAGTAGAGAGAGAGAGAGAGAGACAGACAGACAGACAAAAAGTGATGCACACACAAAAGTGATACTCAAAACTTTATGTTGGACAGGTTTACCAAAACCTTCAGTAAAACCTAAGGGACTTGAGCCGGAATTAATCAAGGGTTTACCATCCTTGGGGGCCACGGTAAGGGGGTGGTTTTTATTACGGTAGCTCACTGATCATGTTCTTGACACAGTCGGCTGCAGGCTGGGGGTCTCTATGGTGACCGCAGTTCCTCAGTTGGAATCTCTTGGCCACGTACATTGCTCCCGACAGACTCTGACCCAGCCCCTCCAGCTCTGTTACCACACACTGGGTAGTCACTGGGAGGTGTGGGTGTGTGTGTGGGAGGGGGGTAAAGGTAAGGGGCAGAGAAACGATACACATAATGTAGGTGTGGGTCTCTGTTTTCACTTGTACGTATATAACTCATGCACGCATTGGAAAACATGACGAATTCAAGTTTCAACATAAAACAAACAAACCAACATTAAACAGAAGTCCATGTAAATGTAGTGGAGGACACTCCAAATAAAGGACACTGGTTTCAATCCAGTGCTAATTTGTAACCCTCTGAATGAGGAAACCTCTGCATATAAAAAGAACAATCTTCGTGATCCCAGCATGTCCTTTATAAAGAGGTCCCACTGTGTACGTAGTGAGAGACAGTACCTAGCTGGACACGGCCTCCCAGGTACTTTGGTAGCTGCTCCTTTATCTGAATCTTCCCTTTTAGCGCCGCCTGACAGAACGTCCCGTCCACTGCACCGTGACCACGGCATGTTTGAACCACACAGGTAGAGCGTTGGATGCTTACCTATGACTTGGTACGGCTCTCGTATCTTGAACGTGTTCTTGTAGAAAGAGAGCACCTTTTTCGCGTGCTTGTATCTCTTCACCTTCATCACCTGTCTGAATCAGCACGTTTGGGGTTCAGAGTTCACCTGAGCATGCGCAGTACGAAGGGGGTGTGGCCGGCCAAAGTAAACCGAAAGTGCCGAATGCATGCTCTTAGAGCGCACTGTGGGAGCTATCTGTACGACAGTATTGCCCAGCAGTGGCTCACAGAGGAGGAGAGACGAGCTATGGAGGGACGGCAGGTAGCGGGGCCGCTACCCGCGCAGTCTAACGGGGACGGAGACGGGGCCGAGAGCAGCGACAATGAGCAAGCCAGCCAAGACTCTAGTGCTGCCATGCAATGGCCGTTGTTCGGGTCTCCAACACTGTCTACCATTCGTGTCACGTCGTATACCGACAGAGGCGGGACCATTGTGAGTCTGTAGCTACCAACTCTGTAGCGTTGGCCGTAGATCAGTGTGTAGAGCACTCTGCCTAGCTAGCTATGTACTGCAAATTTCACGAGTTCGAATACCACGAAGGTAGTTCTTACTGCTCTGTTCTGGGTGTTATGCATTTTCTTTCTTTCCCATTTGCCTTGCGACCTCGTTGTACATGTTTATTCCTACCCTAATACGTACCTGTAGCCAGATACATAGATACCTGTAGGCAAAATATTGCTACCCTTAGGGGTTTAGCATGTGTAGATTGTTTGACTGTTTATTCTGTTGTTTTTTCTCTGTCTCCATGTTCTTCTACTGCTGCTGTTGGCTGCGTTGTTGGTCTTCACTATACTCTACTGTCATAGTATTTCACAGTCCAGCCAACTCTGGAAGGATTTCATTGGGTCGTTGAGAGGACATTCGAAGAGTTCTCTCGTCTCCACAAAACTGTGAGTGTGTGTGTGTGTGGTAACTTTGTTGTCCCAGTCAGTGTCAACTGTTTACAGCAGCAGATGTTGTATTAGACCCTTGAAGCCAAACTAATGACAATGGGTGTAAAGTTCAATTCTGTTAGACACCACATGGACATGTACTGTGTACATATGTACAGTACGCACATGTATGCATGTATGTACATATGTGAGCATGTACATTAGGTGGGACAAATTGTTCTTCTGCAGTGTAACTAGGCCAAAAGGCACTGTATGCACACCATCACGGCAAAACCACTTCATGTAAATCCTGGGTCACCGATCAAGAACTTAAACTTGTATCAGACAAATCATTTGTGTACACCTACGCACTGTGAACTCTGTCCAAAGGCATCTCCACAGTGTCTGAATGCAGTTCACGTGCATGTCTTTATGCTGACTGTTTTGTACTCCAGACACTCAGTTTCAAAATGCCTTATTCATCTCTCTTATGAACAGTCCAAAACCCAACTGGGTTTACATGTGATTGTGATTGTTTTGCCAACTGAACTGGACCAGGTACTGTACTAGAGTCTGCCAAAAACAGTCTTTGCTGCGATGATTAGTGCAAAACATAGACCTGTAGCCTAAGCATTCTTTACTGTGTTAGTTGTGTTAGATTGACACAATACTAATGCCTATATACATACGTAATACGCTATTATTCTAATTACTAGGCTCGGCAGTCGTTTGACACACATGCAACACGTTGCACGCAATAATACTACATACGTTGACTTTATTGTAATGCAGCTTTGTCTCACTCAACAAAGTTGCATTGTACAGTATGTATGTATGTATGTATGTATGTATGTATGCATGCACCTTAAACCAGATACTCTGTCCCCCAACTCCACAGTTGGTTGATCATTATGGGATCAGCAAGACCCTACTCCCGACCAGGAAACTGTTTGGCTATTTCGGGACCCCGAAACCACAGTTCCTCAGCGACATGCAGCTGAAACTGGACCAGCTGCTCAAGACCGTCCTCCAGAATTACCCCGTACCTCCACGAGCTCTCCTCGAGTTCTGTGGATACCCCTTCTGTGTGAGAGATTCAGACGTTTAGGGGTTAAAAATTCCTTCTCCTTCACATATATTATGAACTACAATTCTTGTCGGGTACAGCCCCCAATGTTTATATGTGGGAGGGTTTTTACCCCTATTATAATGAGGTTGGAATGTTTTATCAAGCCACAGCCATGCAGCTCTTTATCCTCTGATCAATCTCTTGTAAACTTGTAGTAGCCACAAGGCCACTTTCATTGTGGACCATGGTTCAGATACTCCTCCTCCTCCTCCTCCTCCTCCTCTTGTTTGCCTCCCCAGGATGTTCTAAGTATCACACAGTCCCTTGCTGTCTATGTCTATAACGAAGGTATATACAATATACATATCTTATCTCTTTCAGTAACGTTTGTAACAGTGTTCACTGTACACCCCTATAATTTAACTGCCCCTATAATTAAAGGGTACATATCTTATTTCTTTCAGTAACGTTTGTAACAGTGTTCACTACACACCCCTATAATTTAACTGCCCCTATAATTAAGTGATTATGACTTTTTTGCACGGCAGGTGACTATGTGTTGACAAACAACAAAGCTCTCTTCATGAGTCCCACACAACTACACTGTGTCGGTCGAAGAATGACTCTCCCTATTTCCTCCACTGGTAAGTCTCTCTCTCTCTCTTCTTTTCCTTACGTACACATCTCTACTTGTGTGTTTATCATGATGTAAACTCGTACTTTTTCTACTGCATTTCATACTTCATAATTTTCCAAGTAGAATTTCCATGATAATTGAGGTGATCTTAATTAGCAACAGTTCACTCAACTACTGCATGGTATATACGTAAACTGCGAGTTTGAGGCTATATAATTATAAGAAAACTAAGCTGTACGTATGTATGTATGTATGTATATATGTTATGTCAGTGGGAGGAGGCAAGGTTTTCTGTCATTCATACAGTTCTCTTAAAGAGTTCTCATTGTGTTTTAGGGACTGGTTCGGTGAAGGGGGACTTTGGAAATCTGCTGGATTTCTTGATGCAGCTACAGAAAATGAAGGTTTGTGTAGTTAGCTTGTTTACATTTCAACCTGTATCCACATAGTTGCAGGGGGTTTAATAGTTTGTCTTTACATGTGTTTTTGTGTGAGTGGTGCACTTTGTATAATGTTGCCTTCAGGTGCTCCGTCAACAGAGGATAAGTTTATACTGTCGTCTATGGAAGACGTGTCCTTTGACCTCTCGATATTCAAGTCACTAACATACCTTATGGTGAGCAAGTTGCACCGGGGTTTGTCCTAATGTGCTCGTTTGTAGACTGCAGCTCTCACCACATGTAGTCCATAATGTGTCTGAACGTTTTAATGCGTGTCTGCATGTACAACATCAACACTGTATCCCTTTCATGAATTGCTTTAAGAGGACTTATATAACGTAATGAAAAAGAGGGGGGGGAGGGGGGCAAACCCTGTCATGTGCATTAAAAGGTTCACTTCAACTCAAAGGGGGGCACGAGTGGAGGTGTATGGTGATTTGCCAGGGCTGCTATTGATCTATTTCTCTCCTGATATGTATACAACCACTGATGTATACAGGTTGACTCCATAGAGATCGCGGACGTGCAGGGGAGACAGTGTCTGACCGGTCAGTTGGAGGGTCTGGACATCAGGAGGTGCCTCAACTCACTCAAGGTCACTCAGTGGCTCATTTCCGTGTATACAATTGCATTGAGAGCGTGAGACTTTGCCATAGCAGGAGTACACGCTCATTTAAAAAATAGCAGTTTGTCCATTGCGCTTAAAATTTATCTGGCAATTTAACATGTTGCATGAACCCATCATTCCCATACATGCATATATACACAGAAGTTGCATGAGACCAATCATCATGTTGGCTTGGAGTGTTTGTAGGAGGGGTCACCTTTTGTTTGACGCCTGCATTATGCTATGCGTAGGTACATGTAGCTAAGGTCAAAGTTTTACAGTACAAGCAGAGGTGAATACGTATCAAGTAGATCACTCATGTAAGCCATCACGAAAATATAACACCTTTTCCTATATATACAGTAATATTCTTTCTTTCTGGACTCCCCTGACTCCCTAGACTCCCCTGACTCCCTAGACTCCCCTGACTCCCTAGACTCCCTGGACTCCCTTGACTCCCTTGACTCCCCTGACTCCCTATGACTCCCCTGACTCCCTAGACTCCCCTGACTCCCCTGACTCCCTAGACTCCCCTGACTCCCTTGACTCCCCTGACTCCCCTGACTCCCTAGACTCCCTGGACTCCCTGACTCCCTAGACTCCCCTGACTCCCTAGACTCCCTGACTCCCCTGACTCCCTTGACTCCCTAGACTCCCCTGACTCCCTAGACTCCCTTGACTCCCCTGACTCACTAGACTCCCTGGACTCCCTTGACTCCCCTGACTCCCTAGACTCCCCTGACACCCCTTACTCCCCTGACTCCCTAGACTCCCTGGACTCCCTTGATTCCCTGACTCCCTAGACTCCCCTGACTCCCTAGACTCCCTTGACTCCCCTGACTCCCTTGACTCCCCTGACTCCCTGACACACCCCTTACTCCCTTGACTCCCCTGACTCCCTAGACTCCCCTGACACCCCTTACTCCCCTGACTCCCTAGACTCCCTGGACTCCCTTGATTCCCTGACTCCCTAGACTCCCCTGACTCCCTAGACTCCCCTGACTCCCTAGACTCCCTTGACTCCCCTGACTCCCTTGACTCCCTCGACTCCCCTGACTCCCCTAATTCCCCTAACTCCCTAGACTCCCTTGAGTGATCTACCGAATATCATATCCATAACCAAATTTCATGATCCCTTTTGCACAGTGCGACCTGTTGTATAAAAATCATGAATTGTCTCGCAATCAGGCACTTTAATGCTGAGTGACGGAAAATGTGCCTAGCACTTTCGTACTTTTAGTAAGAATGTGGGGGCCAGGACAGGCTAACCAACCATTACCGATACCTTGACTATGGCTGGAGATTGCAGTACAAATCACCTTTAGGTGTCACGATGATAAAATGGGCCATTTTTTCCGTATTTTTAGTAAGACCATGAGGGCAAGGCAGGCAAACTAACCATTCAGTGTACCTTTACTGTAGCTGGAGAGTGCAGTAAAATGAATCTTTTGCTTTTAGTAAGAACAAGGGGCTAGCCAACCAAGAGCAGTAAAAAATCTCTTATTCCCAGTCCTCTGCTAATATATATATACCATAGACAGGGGTTTTTCAGGGCAGTGATTGAACTTCACACACCATCTCTGCATACAGTGTCACCCAAACTCTTTTGCTGCTTACAATCACAAAAACAGGAAGTGATGTCAGCATTTTCATTCCTTCAGTGTATACCTGGTCCTAACAAGGAGTAATGTATTCTGTTGCGTAGCCCTATCCCTCTATAATATCCCCTCCCTTCTTGTAGGCTAGTCTTCCTGTATTGTGGCATTACTTGACACTTATGCACAATCTCGAGGGATCACAATCTCCATTCTGACCAAGTTTCATCTCCATGAGTGCTATATACCGTTAGCAAGTTTGAGGAGAAGTGCCTGAAGCTAGTTGAACAACATGTAATCGCCCATTGTTGTTACACAGGAGATTCTACTGGTGTATCCAGTGGACGATGCAGTGAGTCCCGTCCCGCCTGGGACGGTGGATCTGACCCGAGGCCTCAAGTGGACCTCACTCACAAAGATCTGCTTCAAACTGAACAACATCACTTCCATTGACACCAGTCTGGTAACTATATATACACATATAGAGTTGGCGAGTGAGCGCAAGCAGTTCAATATTTCGTGCCTGTTTTGCGTGTATTTAGAACATTACAGTTTGTGCAGTGCCAGACAGAGCCATCACATGTAATACTATAGAAAATTGACAGATTGAAACTGCTCGGTAGTACTATAAAGAATTGACACATTGAAACTGCTAGGTAGGCTAGCTTCGCTCGCCAATTATACCAGTGTATTATCACTCAACGTGCAGCAACTCCTGCCTGCTCTGACCAGTCTTGACCTCTCCTACAACTACATCGAGAGACTCGAAAACCTAACAGTAAGCTACAGGCAAGAGTCACACAATCCTTATGTATCTCCAGGTGCCCTCTCCCCACACAACTAATCCTAGCCTCCGAAATGTCATCCGTCGTCAAACCAAACTTTTATATTTTGCATTAGTTTTTTCTTGCCACATTTCCCTGCTACATGTATGGCCACAATTTTGAGTACTCTTCATGTACGATGCAGTAATTATTGGAGCCACAATTTTTTACCCTTTGGTTTTGTTTTCCGTCTGACCCCACCTCTACCCCCTCCAACCGATGGCATCACTTAAGTTGTTCATTTTTACTCCAATTTTAAGCCTTTGCATCACAGTTACGTAGGTATGCATACGAGTGCAGTTGGGATAGCCTTGGAACGAGGCTGTGCTTCACGTGTGCCAAGTGACTCCAACAATTATATATAATTTGTTGGTATTTTGGCAGGGGCTACCCAATCTGAAGGTGGTAGATCTGTCCTACAACAAGGTGGCAGATGTTAAGGACCTCCATCTCACCATTGGGAACGTGTCCAAGCTCGCCCTGGCCCACAACCTAATCACCTCTTTGGAAGGTTCGGTATATACCTTACTATTTTATCTTTCTAGCGTAATTTCTCGTTCTAGCGTAACAGTGCCGTGATTTGCTCAAGTTTGAGAGTCGATTTCGTTTGTCTTACTCAAAGCCCGGTTCATATAATCAATGCAAAGTCACGTGACTTTATTTGGGAGGGTAAACAGGACAAGTCTCAATTTATGCTGTGGCTGTTTACAAATGTTGCCACGACTTTTGACTCCACAGGTTTGGACCGATGTCTTTCCCTGGCGTATCTCGATCTCTCGTCAAACCAAATTGCTGAGGTATGTACGTATGTACCACTGAGTCTGTGGGTCACTGTTATGTTTATACATGTAGTACATAATTCTGGGTCAGTTCTTCATGTAAGACTAAGTTTTGAGTCACGAAATCTGCTGGTCAGCATTTTCATTGTTCTTAGCTCGTAACCCATGTTCATAACCTGTTTTTCTTATGGCATTGGGTAACCGACAACAAATTTCGTGACTCAAAACTTAGTCTTATATGAAGTAACAAGGTAATTCGGTCCCATTGTCGCCCTCCAGGTGTCGGAGATGGGCCATCTGTCAGGACTGCCGGTACTGGAGGACCTGTATCTGCAGGGGAATCCCCTCAAACCTTCCTCCTCCTCCTACCGCTCCACCATACTCACCTACCTCGCCTCCATCGCCGACAAGGTCTTTCCCAACCTCCTTTGTCAGCCATTCCATGCTGTGTTGAGCAAGAACGTTTCAAGCAAAAAAACAATTTGACGAGAAAAAGTTATCCATTAGAGTTCTTTATCCTCCAAGTTTTCTCCATTTTTTACTATGTTCTGTCCTGTTCCAAGAGCGTTTCAAGCAAGAAGAAGAAATATTTTCCCTTGGCGTAGTAGAATTCAACCCATGAAGTTTTAAAAAATGTAGTACCCCTTTAATGATTCATTCATCCATACAGCTTGTGCAAAGTGTATCTGTTGAAGTACGTATGTATATATACGTAGTGTGTTTCAACACATGTGTGTTCATGATTATGTGTACATACAGTATGTGTGTGTACGTGAGATACATGTGTGTGTATGTGAGATATGTGTGTGTTTGAAGCTGTACTCCCAACTGGCACCAGGTGTCACTGGATGGGAAGAAGGCGAGTCAAGATGAAATAGAGCTCTCCATATCTCTCTCTGGGGTCAAAGGTCAACACCGGAGGGTAAGTACGTACGTATCAATACCCGTCTGTGTTGAGCTTAAAATAGAGAGAAATGTATTGATCTGTGAGCACATCTGGAAAAAAAACATACATAGCCTAGTGGATGCAAGTGGGACAGTTTGTAAAAGCAGAGAAGGCTCTGAAACATGATGTGATAGTGTAAACCTGTGATGGATTTGTAAGTAAATGGCTTGGCTAAATCAGTCTCCGTTGTTGTGTTAAACCAGTGACAGATTTGTTCATAGCGGGGAAAGTAACGACTGTACGTGTCACATGATGTGCAGGTGCCCACCAGAACTGCAGATATCAAGCCTGACAGGTTCTCTCCTACAAATCAACAAGAAGGTGGGTTAACTGAAATACGTGAGTGTGAGCAAAGAGGAATGTGACTCTCTCTCTCTCCTCTCTCCCTCCTCTCCCTTCTCTCTCTCTACCCCCTTCTCTCTCTTCCCCTTCTCTCTCTCTCTCCCCCTTCTCTCTCTCTCTACCCCTCTTCTCACTCTCTCCCCCTTCTCTCTCTCCCCCTTCTCTCTCTCTCTCCCCCTTCTCTCTCTCTCTACCCCCTTCTCTCTCTCTCTCTCCCCTTCTCTCTCTCTACCTGTGTGTGTTGTTCAGTTCAAGAGGAGTTAGAGATGTCCAGCAGTGTGACCAGTCGTCTTGAGGAGATGAGGAAGACGGGAGGTGACAAGTGGCTCTCTCTACTCAACTCTGGGGCCAGGAACTCTGCCAGTCCCATCATCGATGGCGTGAGTCACACAAAATGTATTGATCTTCTGAAACATACATAGCGTGGTGTGTGCATGTCATAGACATACCCATACATTGACATTGTATGATTGTAGACTGATTTACCTGGCATCACCATGGGGTGCGTGCATTAAAGTGAGTATGGCATTACATAAGGGCTAAAATTAGAAGTGTTACTAAAGATAGTGTAAGAATACAATTAAGTTTCCTTTTCGGTAGGTTTCTAAATTTAGCCCTTATACGTGTATATATAATTATTATTATGCCACATTCCCTTTAAGGGCAAAATACACAACGTACGTATGCAACTTTATTGTGTGGGGGCAAAGGTCCCACGTTGTTGTATACAGTGTGGCGAGGGAGATTTTGTTTGCTGCAGGATGATGTGGTGGCACAGGGGAAACGGAGGAGACGGCATCGAAAGCCACATGCTCACGCTCACTCTAGACCTGATAATGATAGGTGAGCATACTGCACGCAAATATGATGTACGTACCTATGTACTATGTCAAAAGTGCATACTGCATACAGTGACTATATATGTACCAAGAAAAGGAGGAAACTGTAAATCAATTTGCACAGCTTTAGATTTTTGCACACACACTGTTTCTGTTTTTTTTCTTTTTCTTGTTTGCGTGTCTCTTCTCTCTGCTTTATTCGTGTGCTGTTTTGACATGCTTGAGTCAACAACGAGATAGCAAGGCAAAGAAAAGCAAGCAAACATTAGTTGTGGTAATCTAGACTTTATGCACATCCACACGTGTATATAATTATGTGAGTTGCTCATAAAGTACCAGTTGCAATAGTTGACAGACCTGTTTTGTAACAGCTCACAGCGGGAGGCGGAGCCCCCAGCCCCTGTCGCTAGCACCAATCAGCCTCCCCTGGAGATGGAGATGGAGGAGGAGGAGGAGGAAGAGGAGACTTCACCAGAACTACAGAACCTCATCCACCAACTGGAGACCGAGAAACTATAGTAAGTCTCGATCCTACGTATGTTTAGGCTTACTACAGTTGGTATTAGAAAAATACCCAAAAATCAACAAGTGCCAAAGTGCAACCTCTGCACATGTGCAGCACCGCTAATTGATGGGCTGGACTTTTGAGCATGCCTTTACTCATGGCCTCCACGCTAGTATGTATGCTGCTCGCGGAGAGTCTGACATGGGCTATCTAGTACACGAGGGTTAAAAATTGTAAAATTATTAAGGATTGTTAGTTTGACACCATTATGATAATGTGGGGGACAGCGAAACAGAGGCGAAAAAAGATTAAATAGGAATAGAAGTTGAACACTATTCCATACTTCAACGTTCGTTAGAGTATTAAATATTGTTGGCCTGTCTCTTCTTGCACTGGTCTTCCTACAAAAAATGCAAAATCGTTGACACCCCTAGTAGAGATTTGGGGGCAGATTAGCTAAAGGATAGCAAAATTGAGGCAAAAGAGGGAATGGTGAAGCTAGCTACATAGCGCTGCAGAAGGACAGAGTACGTCACAATTGCATATTAAAAACAATCGTCAAAGTATTAAAGATTAGTTGGCTACCTTTTCTATAATAACTGAACGAAGCTGTGCACTACTGTACACCATCTTTCCCTCCCGCCTCAATTCCCTCTTTCGCCGTGCAGCGTGTCGGAGTTCCCTGTGACAGTGCTGGAGTACAGGGGACCCCTGGACTCCCTGTCGTGTACTGACGTGGACCAGAAGTTGCTCAACAGTAGACTGGAGGAGTGCACAGTCTGCGTGGACACTACTGTCAGTAGGCTGGTAGAGACCGTGCTCTCTACCAGTCGTACACGCTGTCAGAGAGATCTTGGTGAGTTAGCTGGCCTGGGATGGGGGTAGGGGGGGTTGTTAGGGAGCACAATGTGCTGTAGAGACTGTTTTCTCAACCACTGTCAGAGAGATCTTGGTGATGTGGGTGAGCTGGCCTGGGGGGATAGGTAAGGGTGCACAAAAGTCTGCAGACACTACTGTACTGGAGAGACAGTTCTCTCTACTAGGCGTATATTGACAACTCTCTCCATCTACAAGTCTCTGTTGTTGTGCAGCTCTGATGGAGGACATTCGTTTCCACGAGGGGAGGAAGAAGGGGGTGTGTCTTCGGTTTGCCCAGTTCAGCGGAGACCCATGTGGGTCATCTACTGTGTGAGAGACATGGGGTCTCTGGCCAGACTCTATGTCGCCGTCCAGCACGCCCTCAAGTAAGGTTTTGAGCACCTCCCTCCCTATAAAGGACACTGTGGTTCCACCCCCCATACTAATGCATTTACTAGGAATGTGCACGCGCATATTTTGCCTCGCGCCTGCCAGCCAATGCGTAAACAGTCCGACTGAGGCCGCTCGTGCGCGCGCTCTACTGACTGCGCGCGAAGCCAGACTTCCTACAAATCTGCGCGCACGGCGGAAGCTAGACTTCCTACGAATGACGGAAGTTGACATTCCTAAAGCGTGACTAATTGACATTCTTAAGCGTGACCGACACGTACGTATATCGCGAGAATACAACCCGAAGTAGTTGCCTCACGCTAACGCGCTCGGCAATAAACCCTCCGAATAAGGGAAAAGAAACTTTTTGTGTTCAAAGATTACTCTATAATGTGAAATGTCCAACTTTTCGTACTGAACTACAGTGTACTGCAAGGTTGATCAGAAATAGTATGGAATTAAACACGTGTACGCATACGTACATATTCGGATAAATACTAAATACTGAGACGTGGTATTGATACTGTGCTACACACTGGCTCCACAGATCTAAAGAGAGTTACAACAGTGCAGCGGGAGATGTGCTGACACCTCCAGAGGTCAACATCTTGGAAGCTGTCAACCTAGCCACCGACAAGGCTCTCTCTCCAGTCACAGACACCACCCCAACCACTTACAAGAAACAGACCGAACTGCCCGAGCCACAAAAACCAACCATAGATCCCCGACCGACAGAGACGGTAGATGGAGGAGCGTGGAAGGTGGAGTTCATGTCAGCCAGCGACACTTCAGACCACACCCCCTCGACATCCAGCGGAATTACCTCACCAGATGCTGCACCTAGCAGCGGGCCCGTGTCACCCCTGAAGGTCCATTCACGATCCATATCTCCTTCCCCAAAGCCACAGATTTCTGCAAAGAAAGTCGTGAGCGGTGGGTCGAGCCCTGACCTGGTTGTGAGATCGACTAAGAGTGGAGGAGCCAGCACTCTCGAGGTGAAGAGAGGGGGAAAAGAGATTTCTGCAAAGAAGTCCGTGAGCGGTGGGTCGAGCCCTGACCTGGTTGTGAGATCGACTAAGAGTGGAGGAGCCGGCACTCTCGAGGTGAAGAGAGGGGGAAAAGAGAGCATATCGGCTCCTGTGAGCTCGGCTCCTTCCCCTGTGACAGCTCGCAGGAAGATACTGGGTGACGCCAATGACGGCAAAACAGAATCGCGTAATGTTCTGTCGTCTCCTGAAATAGAGAGAAAGACTGAAAAAACAGACCTAGTAACTGCTCGCGCCGGTAATGCAGACTCTAAAGTACAAGGTTCCGGTAGGCCAAATCCAATGTCACTGACGCTCTCTCAAGATTCACTGAGAGACTCGAAAAAGCCGGCAAAACTCACGACGGGAGGTCGAAAAATGATAAAGAAACCCGGATTGGAGCGAGAGTCACTCGTTGGCTTTTTCTGTGGGAAAATTGCCCGGGAACAGAAAGAGGTTCTGATGAACGTACTGTGGGGTGGAGCCAGCCTCACATCTACTCCCGGATGTGAAGTCGAGAGCGGTCTCTTTGTGAGCGACAAGGGCGTGTATCTCCTCCAGGTGATGGATTCCGAGATGGACGAGAGCCGCTCGTGGTACTCGGAAAACCCTCCCCTCATCTGCTCGTTCCACGCCTACCACCTCACCCTCTCCCAGGTGAAGACGGGGATTTTTGACCAGAGCGTAACCCTCGAGTGCGTGGAGAAGGGGGCACTCAAAAGTCTAGTCGTTTTCCCCCGGACGAGCGAGAACATCCTCGCTCTATTGGACAACTTGAAGGCCGCGCTGGATTCCATGAGGATCCCGTACAGCGTCACCTCTATGAGAGAGTCGGTACTCGACTCGCCTGAGAAAAAGGACGACTCGAAAGTCCTGTTTGTGCTCCCCGATGTCTCGGATCTCCAGAAACTGAAAGAGAGCCTCGTTAGCCAGGCCGTCGTGACGCAGCTCACGAGCCAGAAGATGGCCGGATACTACGACACGAGTGGGTCCCCCTTGTTAGGTGAGGAGACGCAGCGAGGCTGCGAGAACGCCGCGGCAAAGTTTGAGATTCTTCAGTACGTGGTGGTGAGCGAGTTGAGCTCTGACTTACTCCCCATCGGGAACGGGGTGGTACATTTCCGACCGCACGTCCTCGTCCTGACCAACGAAATCCTCTACCTCTGTCGCGACGACACAGCAATGTGTCCGAGCAATCCCGGCAGCCCCGTGAACCCTCCGTTCCCACGGTGCTGCGTCCTAGACTCGTGCCCCGTCGAAAACGTGAAGGAGATCGAGATGTGCGAGAGGGCGCAGGGCGTCGTGTCAATCTCGGATCCGGTCTACGAGTTTCGCATCAGTTTCAGCGTCGGGAGCGCTGGTGCTCAGTCTGGTTCTCGAGGATTTCGCCGGTGGCAGCTCTGCGTGTATGATCGTCAGTACATCGACCAGTTCTTTTCCTGCTTACAGCCGCTCTGGCACGACATTCACCACACCGACCTCCCCGTCTCTCTCACAGCTGAGCCCCTCACAACCGTCCCCCTCACTCCCCTGACCCCCACTAGGGGTAAGCGCTCTCGGAGTTTCTCCGAAAAGCCCGACATCACCACGTACGACCCGGCTTTCTTCACGACCCAAGCCCTGGTTAATCTTGCGAGTCTGTCGAGCAGTCATCGCGTACAGTTCTTCAAGGAGCGGGTCTCGGAGGCTCAGTTTATGAAATCGGACGAAGTCCCGCTGGCAGTCTTTCTTGCCGTCTGCTCCATCCCCGGAAGACATGATCGCGTGGAGATTGAGACGTGTGTAATGGCCAGTCAGTACGCCGTCTACCTTGTGTCGGACGTTGAGAACATACGCAGGTGGATGGATGCCGGTGGCCCCACGTCATTCTCACGAATGTCGCTCCTGAACAAGCAAAACGTGAAAGAGGCTCGCTGTTTCTTCCGTCTGTGGATCAAGGAGATACGGGAGATCAACATTGGCTTCTTTTACCTCTCGCTGCGGCTCAAGGCGACAGAGAAGAGAAACGACTTTTGCGTTCACTCGCAGGACGCCACTTCCACGATGGCCCTCCTGAGCGCCGTCTCGTGCAGCACGAACCTCCGCAACACCGCCGAGGAGAAAATAATGGACGAACTCCTCTCCGAATACATTGATCTCGGTGGCGAGTCCATCAGTAAAGCCAAGCAGGTCCAGAGGAGCACCAAGGCCAGTATCGAGTTCAGGGAGACTCCGTTGAATAGTCTAGAGATTCTCAAACAGATACTGCTCTGCATCAGTCCCAGTATCACAAAGAGCACCACCATCGACCAGTCCACGTCGGGGCTGCAGATCCTCCTGAGCCAGATCATGATAGTGGTGGAGGAGATCAGTATTAGCGGGACACGCACCCTCCAGTACCACCCGCAACTCGTCCTCCTGTCAAACTACGGTCTGTTTGTCTGCGCTAATTCCGCCGGGGAGAATGCCACGCCTGCCGTTCTAGAAGCGTCGGACCTGAAAGTGAAGCGATGGTGTCATATTGATCTGATAGGGCATGTCCAGCTGGTGTCAAATAACCCGCGCTCCAAACAGAGCAAGAGCCACGTATTTTGCATCAGTCTCCAGTCCCAGAGAGGAGCGGAGAGCCACTCGCTGGTCCTGGCTGCACAGAACTTCCAGCAACTGAGACAGTTCCTCTACCACCTCTCGCTCCTCTGGCACGAGAGACATGAGAAAAGCTTGCCCATTTATACAGTTTGATTTTACCCACACATCGTGTGTATTTGTATCTCTCGCCTTTTGTTCATCGCCATGACAGTGTATGTTGTACCTCTAACTCTGTACATCATGCTCATTTGTACAATATTTTAGATATTGTTAAAAGATTGTTTACACCTATATAATATATACTTTGCAACTTGGAGGAGCATGTGTTTCTAGAAGAGAGATACAGTACAGCGGGTTTCAACCACACACAGTCCTCACCATCGCATAATGGCGGCCCTGTCTGTGTACTAACTCCACGTATGAGAACCAGTGATTGGCTGGTCTTTATAATTATATTGAGCGGTTATAGTGCTTAGTCAAATGCGATGTTGCGGCAGTAGTAATCTCTCCCTCTCTCTCTATGCATGGAGAATGTACGTACAATGTAGCTGATACAAAAAAACCTCGCCGGCGCTTGTGACAATTGTTCCGCTAAAATTTGTACACGCAGTCTATAGCCGAAGCAAGCAACTGTGAACTCTGATCTCTGTGTATTGGCAAGTATAAGGGGTGTGTTGCTGTCAAGAAACAATTCCCGTATGAAGAGGACAGCACACTAACACGAAAAATGCGGACATGAAATTACCACCCCATATCAATGTATAATTATACCTATACAATGAAAAGCACTAAAGTGCAAACCCTCGGCGAACTGCGCATGCGCGGTACCGCTAATAGTATGCGTTTTGCGTTTACTCGTGGTCTCCCGCTAGTAGCTTGCAGAGAGTCTGACACGGGCTAGCTACAGTAGTAGATAGCATGCGAGAGTCGATACACGCCATTCGTTGTGACTTCTTGTGCCTTCAAGATACACAGAGCAAGCAGACCCGGTCTAGGTAAGCTAGCCTGTGCTAAATATAAGCGCATGCGCATTTTCCGCAGCGATAAAAATGGCCGACTACGCTTTAGCCGTACAATGCTTGAAGCGCTCTAGCAGAGAAAACCCCACAAATATTCTGACCTTCGTTGCCCGTTGAGTAGGTCGTATCGTTTGTGAGACGAACAAACACTCCAGAAGTGAGATGTCGAGTAACAGACAAACAGACAGACCCAACTACCGTAACCCTCGCTGCGCATGCGCGCCGAGGGTTAATGACTTGTCATTTATCATCACACAATGTGCTGCAGTAGCTACAAATTGACAGGTACTAATAATACTATAGTAGCAGAGTTGCTTGCTCCTGCTCTCTATTTCATTATGGTTAAATAATGAACAACAGATCTGCTAGAATTGTCTGAGATCCATGTAGAGTTCCTCTCCACCCTCCAGGGGAGCTCCCAGTGTCCTGGCCTCTTCAGTGTAGGCAGCCACATCCTCTGCTGTCCATAACAAAAACTTAAAGTCTGGATTCTGAAACTCTGTAAGGATCTGCGAGAACGTGGGTCTTGAATCAGGGTCCAATCTCCTATGGTGTAGGGTAAAGAGTACAATGAACCATTGTTAGGGAGTGTTTACTTAAACGGAATAAAGGACCAGTGCAGAACTTCAGTCTGCCTACCATGTGTAGTTCTCCCGTAGCACAGTGGTAGTGCACTTGCCTGGGAAGCAAGAGGTGGTGGGTTCGAATTCCACTGGTAGAGCAGATTATTCTTCTCTATATTCTATCTATGTACACTTCTGCAATCTTTCAGTCTACCAGGCGTGATATTAGGAGCGAGTTGCATGGATCAAAATCTAAGGTAACCTGGCAAAAAGCTATCCGTGCCAGGCTTAGCTACATTGAAAGATTGAACATTAGTATTTCCCAAATGATGCAAGGACACAGCTGTAGTTGATCTGTGACTCACCAGCACTTCAGCATCAAGATGTATATCTTCCTGGGGCACCCAGGTGGTGGTGGAAGAATATGTCCCGCTGAAATCTTGTTATAAGCCTAGTAAAGAACATACATACATATGGAGATGATTAGAGCAGCTGTCCTTTATACTGCAGTTATGTATACCTCAGTATTGGTGAGATTATGAAATGGTTTCATTCCAAGTGACCATATTTCGTACATGACAATTCCAAAGCTCCACACGTCACTGGCAGTCGAGTACTTCTTGTAGTGGAGAGCCTCTGGAGCAGTCCATTTCACAGGGATTTTCCCTCCACGAGAGACATAGTAGTCAGTGTCTTGCAGAGCTCGAGACATGCCAAAGTCAGCAATCTGTATTGTATTATTTCTTGGTTCACACTCACTAATGTAATGTGTCCCGTAACCTTGCAATGGTCTGTGTCAGAGACGAGGATGTTCCTGGCTGCCAGGTCTCTGTGGACGAAGCCCCGCCCAGCCAGGTAGGTCATTCCCGAGGCCACTTGCTGACAGAAACTGAGCAATGTTCCACCCTCCTTGCAACTAGCAAATGCGTCACCAGTAAACCTGCGTCAAAAAAAGCAATATCAACCATGTCCAGGTAGCTATGTGTTTGTATATACCTTGATCTAATGGGTGGTATATAGTCCCTTAGGTTTCCGTTTGTCATCAGCTCCACGACCAGCATCATCTATATATAGTGGTGTGTATCATTATTATCCGTACGTGATATAGAGTGCTACACTTTCACATATGGGGACAGGTTACAATAGACATTTGTAAGGTGAGTAGTGGAGAGTGTATACATGCAGCAGTTATGTAATCTCACTGGGTCGGAGTCTAGGAGAGCTCCACAGAGAGAGATGACATTGGGATGTTTGAACTGGCCCATGATGGCTGCCTCCTGCAGGAACTGAATACGTTTCTCCTCTGTGGAGCCATCTGCCAGTGACTTGACAGCCACCTCCCTCTCCTCTCCCCCCACACTCCACACTCCCCTCCTCACCACACCAAACTCGCCACTACCCAGCTCATCAGACAACCTTGAAAAAATAACCATCAACAGTGCATAGCGATGACTATCATAGTTTTACATCAACATACTGGATGCTGTCTTTTGAGATACTCAGTACTTCACTCTCATGGAGCTGAGCCCTCAGTACATCTTCAGTACTGGATGGCTCCCAGTAAGGCCCCTCCCAATCTTCTGCTGTGCAGTAGTGTGGCTCCGGGCTGCAGGTCGCTGAGACTCCATCTTCCAGTGGATCAATGAGGTCATAACTGTGCTGGAGTTGTTCTGAGTCTTGCGTGATCGCTTTAGGATTCTGCAACATCTGCAACAAGTTGGGAACTTTTACACACCTATGCATATACAAACATTATAGTAGGTTTGTGTTTAGTTCAGCAAAAGTGTTTTTACATCCCCACGCACAGCGGGTGTGTGTTTAGTAGTGTAAAAGTTTCATACCATGCCCAGCGCCACATTGACGTCTTCCTGATTGGCAGTTGGTTCCAGTATAGACTCTACCAACATTCGCCGCCTCTCTCTGCTCCCTTTGCTCTGTCTCAGCTCTTTGTTGCGTCTGGAAAAGAGGACCCATCCCAGACCGAGGCAGAGGACTCCGGAGAGGAGAGCGACGGGGATAGTGACCCAAAGAGCCAGAAAAGACTCTGGCCGAGACCCTGGACCATTAGTAGACTCTGGAACTGGCGTTTCTACAGCATCAGAACCCGCTGCGGGTTTAAAAGGAAAATGTGTATAACTGCATTATCATCAAAATTATAGAATGTTAAGTCACATACTAGCACCGATGATAGAGGTTTTCAGATTCAGCCGCAGCCCACATATCGTTTCTAATTGGCCAAAGTTTCCGTTCTCATTGTATTCAATGCACCGCTCCATGTCACTGGTGTTGGTAACTGGTAAGAAAGGGCACACTGCTGTCGACCTGTTATTGGTGTCAGTGATATTGGTACATTCCTCTGTTTCCACTGCTATCACGTCACCAGCCATCACCTCTATATTGCTCGTGTTACTAATACTCATCGTATACGTTTTGGTATTTCCACAAAGTCCGTTTTCAGGCATGATATGCAACTGTGTTAATACCAGTGTCTCATTTCTCCTCATGATATGTAGCATCATACGAAACGAGACTGTCGTTCCGGTTGCTACCGCCTCATCGACCACGCAAAATCCGTTCGCCTCAACAGTGGACAACGTCCCAGAGCAGCCAATTACTTCGGCGAAGAGCCCAGTTCGCAGCGAAGGAAGAATCCAAAGTTCCTTTTTAGTTTGTGGTTTAATAAGTTCGTCATTGCAGGTCGACTACGTACATAAAAAGCAAGGAATTTGTATCGATCTACTAAACAAGTAAAAACCCGTGACCAGATGGAATCAAACTCACCTCCACAGGCTCTTTCCCATGTATACAATACATGGCTAGATAAAGAACTCCCGTGTGAAGCAATAAGGTTCGCCAACAGGCCATGGCGGTTTACTTTCCGTAGATGCGACTCTCCGCGTCGTCCGCGCCTGCAGTTTGTGCGCGCATGCGCGAATGGCTGTCATTTTATACGCAAACGGTTTGCTTTGTGGTTACTCTCCTCTGTACAGTTCTCTTTGCTCCAAATATGTATTCAACTGTTGTACATTCAAAATTCACGCACGAATCACACACATGATATGGCAGCACCAGAAAACTATGGCTACCATTGTCTAAGGTCACTGAAAAGTTCCTCTCCAGCCTCCAGGGGAGCTCCCAGTGTTCTGGCCTCTTCAGTGTAGGCAGCCACGTCCTCTGCCGTCCATGTCAGCAACTTGAAGTCTGGATGTTGGAGCTCCAGAAGGACATGTGGAAACACTGGTCTTGACTCAGGATCCATTCTCCTATAATGAAAGGTTAACATATTCACATGTTATTGCCAGACCACTCTTACCAGCACAGTATCATCAGAAGATAGACGTTTCTGGGGCAGCCAGATGGCGGTAGAGGGATGTGGCCTGCTTCAATCTCATGTAATGCCTGCAAGCATAGTAAAAAAACTATACTTCCCCAAATAATACTTTGTATAGTGTAGCTACCTGGATGTTAGTGAGATTATGATACGGTTTCATCCCAAGTGACCATATCTCGTACATGACCATTCCAAAGCTCCACACGTCACTGGCAGTCGAGTACTTCTTGTAGTGGAGAGCCTCTGGAGCTGTCCATTTCACAGGGATTTTCCCTCCACGAGAGACATAGTAGTCACTGTCTTGCAGAGCTCGAGACATGCCAAAGTCAGCAATCTGCATGGTGGTTATCACCAATGTCTCTTGCTAGACTGTGGGTGAGTTAGTTATTACTTTGCAAACTTCCATATCAGAGACGAGGATATTTCTGGCTGCCAGGTCTCTGTGGATGAAGCCCCGCCCAGCCAGGTAGGTCATTCCTGATGTCACTTGCCGACAGAAACTGAGCAGTGTTGCTGGAACTTTGACCATCTGTAGCTATTCTGGCACCAGAACTGCATTTGTGATATTACACGCTCATTACACATTTCTACAGTGCTAGCTAGCTATATCTTAGCGACATAAACAATTTCTTTTGTTAGTGATAGTAATACCTCTGCCTTATTTCAAGTAGATACTCCTTTAGGTTTCCTTTTGTCATCATTTCCACTACTAGCATTGGCTGTAGGACAATAAGTAGCACGACAGTGTATTGTATATACTACAGCTTACATTAGGCTGGTGCTATGTAAGGAAAGTAACTACAACAGGAAAGTACCATGTGACAGCAATGCATTATCTTTGTCTCACTGGGTCACAGTGTAGGAGAACCCCATGGAGAGAGATGACATTGGGATGTTTGAACTGGCCCATGATGGCTGCCTCCTGCAGGAACTGAATACGTTTCTCCTCTGTGGAGCCATCTGTCAGTGACTTGACAGCCACCTCCCTCTCCTCTCCCCCCACACTCCACACTCCCCTCCTCACCACACCAAATTCACCACTACCCAGTTCATCAGACAACCTGCATTATAGTAGCATTGAACTTTACTGTTTGTTATCTACTCTATGCCATACTGAATGTTGTCCTTAGAAACATCAAGTACTCCACTCTTGCCGAGTTGAGCTTTCAATTCCTCTTCAATGTTTGATGGCTCCCAATATGGTCCCTCCTCATTGTTGGCTTCACTGTCAAATTCATAGTTTGGTTCTGGAAGGGTGATTTTCTCTTGTAGGTGTGGTTGGAAATCAGCGTTATTGTCGATGGACATTGGATTCTGCAAAAAAGTTGCTGATATGGCCATTTAATGTGCACGTGTTGTTATTTACTTACGGAGCATTGGATAGATGATTCTCTGGTTCTGATAGTATTTGTTGGATTAAGGGAAATAGAGTAGTAGTTGGAAGAATTCTGTAAGGGAAAATGTAGTTGTGTGGTCACAATCAGATAGGGCTATACCTACCACTTGCGGAGGTAGAGTAACATGTTCCAAATCAGTCTGGGGGGGCTCCAGTAGAGACTCATTTAACACTCGTGGGTTCTGTTTCTTGCCGCTGTGTCCCTGTCCTGTCTTGTGCCTCTTATAAAGGACACACAACATGCTAATACTGAGCAATAGTACACAGTGAATGAAGACAAATGGAAGAGCAACTGAGAGTGCCACAATGGTAGTGGAGCTATAAATCTTGGCTGCAGGTGGAGACTTCAGAAACACGGAGAGTGACGGGGTTAAAACAACAGTGACAGGGAATGCAACAGTGGGAATTAATGGCTGGCCTGTTGGAACGAGTCCTGTAGGAATTGTGGTGGGGCTAGAAGGGCATGTGTCTGTGAACAACACAAAAGTTTTCATGAACACAGTCGGTAAACGATTGTGGATATGCCTTTACAGTTGGTATAGAAGGTAACGTTCTAGATTACATACCCTGAGGCCCTATATGAGCTCTGATAGCAATCAGCAGCCCGGAAACTCTTCTCGTGTTGTTTAAATCGACGTCAACACTGTGCCGAATTATGCGTGCCGTATTGTCAGCGGTGGCAGCAACAGGGAGGAAAAGGACAGACTGTGACATTGTTTGCTTCATCTGTGATGCAGTCTCTTGCCACTTCAACTGCTATGAAATCTCCCGCCATCACTTCTAGGTCCAGACTTATGTTGAAGGGACCTGATGTATCTATAGTAATAGGCGTTACATGAATTGTCTCAAACAACGATCTGTCTAGTCTGTTTCGCCGAGCAATGTGTAGTTTCATACGGTACTGGACGATATTTCCACCAGTTCCATTGTCATCAGATAGGGTTGCTCCCTGTCCTTCAACATAATTCAATGTCCCAGTGCACGCAATGGACTCAGTAACAACAAACAGGCCTGCTTGATACTCAAGGGGTGGAGTGCTGACATTTTGTAGCGACTCAAAACCACTTACACAACAGGCTGTAAAAGACAGTAAAATTAAAGTGTTCTGTATAGAAAATATTCTTACATGGATATATGTCAGCTTTGATCCCAATCAGCAGTCCACTGACTCTTGTTGTTCTGTTCTCTACGCTGTGCCAGATTTGTGAGGTATTATCAGTGGTAGCAGCAACAGGTAGGAAAGGACAGACTACAGTAGCATTTCCTTCAGTGGTGCAGCCCTCAGCAACTTCAACTGCAATGTAATCTCCAGCCATGACCTCGACGTTCAGATATTTGCTGAAGGAACCACTCCGACCGTTTCCACAGTCTCCGGCAATAGTCGTGACACGAGTGGGAATTGTGTCAAATGTCATTGCGTCTTTGTTTCATGCGGGCAATATGCAGTCTCATGCGGTATTCAACAGTCCTTCCATTTGTTTCATTGTCATCAGAGATACAGTAACCCCGTCCTTCAACAGTTTTTAATAGTCCAGTGCATGGTATGGACTCATGGAACACAAACAGGCCCGCTCTTTGAGTGGGAGGCCTGGGATTCAGTAGTGAGTCGTAACCTCTCACGGTACAGGCTGGGGAGCAGAACGAAAAATGACCAGCAGCTCATGTTTCCGGTTTGAGTAAACGATCGGTTATTGAATAGCACGCTACCTTACCTGTAGCGCCGTGTTCTCCAGCCACCGTCAGGTAGACGAGACCTGTGATAACTGCAAAGCACTTCCAACTGACCATCGCAACACGTTCATCACAAAATTGTCTTCAAGCGCGACGCTCTGGTAACGCCCGGTCTCATCGCTAGCCGACGAGCAATGGCGCATGCGCACTTCGAGAAGGGACTAATTAGCATATACATCATGATGTAACTACACATGAGCACTATTGTTGGATGTTCAAGCAGAAAAATTGAGGTAGCCATGCATTACAGTGCACCATGACTCTTGAGGTCAGTGTAGAGTGCCTCTCCAGCCTCCAGGGGAGCTCCCAGTGTTCTGGCCTCTTCAGTGTAGGCAGCCACATCCTCTGCCGTCCATGTCAGCAACTTGAAGTCTGGATGCTGGAGCTCCAGAAGGACATGTGGAAACACTGGTCTTGACTCAGGATCCATTCTCCTATAATTAAAGGTTAACATATTCACATGTTATTGCCAGACCAGCACAGTATCATCAGAAGATAGACGTTTCTGGGGCAGCCAGATGGCGGTAGAGGGACGTGGCCTGCTTCAATCTCATGTAATGCCTGCAAGCATAGTAAAAAACTATACTTCCCCAAATAATACTTTGTATAGTGTAGCTACCTGGATGTTAGTGAGATTATGATACGGTTTCATCCCAAGTGACCATATCTCGTACATGACCATTCCAAAGCTCCACACGTCACTGGCAGTCGAGTACTTCTTGTAGTGGAGAGCCTCTGGAGCTGTCCATTTCACAGGGATTTTCCCTCCACGAGAGACATAGTAGTCAGTGTCTTGCAGAACTCGAGACATGCCAAAGTCAGCAATCTGCATGGTGGATATCACCAATGTCTCTTGCTAGACTGTGGGTGAGTTAGTTATTACTTTGCAAACTTCCATATCAGAGACGAGGATGTTGCTGGCTGCCAGGTCTCTGTGGACGAAGCCCCGCCCAGCCAGGTAGGTCATTCCTGATGTCACTTGCCGACAGAAACTGAGCAATGTTGCTGGAACTTGACCATCTGTATATAGCTATTCGGGCACCAGAACTGCATTTGTGATATTACACGCTCATTAGCGACATAAACAAATTCTTTTGTTAGTGATAGTAATACCTCTGCCTTATTTCAAGTAGATACTCCTTTAGGTTTCCTTTTGTCATCATTTCCACTACTAGCATTGGCTGTAGGACAATAAGTAGCACAACAGTGTATTGTATAATACTACAGCTTACATTAGGCTGGTGCTATGTAAGGAAACTATATATACAACAGGAAAGTACCATGTGACAGCAATGCATAATCTTTCACGGTCCAGAAGAACCCCATGGAGAGTGATGACATTGGGATGTTTGAACTGGCCCATGATGGCTGCCTCCTGCAGGAACTGAATGCGTTTCTCCTCTGTGGAGCCATCTCTCAGTGACTTGACAGCCACCTCCCTCTCCTCTCCCCCCACACTCCACACTCCCCTCCTCACCACACCAAACTCACCACTACCCAGCTCATCAGACAACCTGCATTATAGTAGCATTGAACTTTACTGTTTGTTTTCTACTCTGTGGCATACTGAATGTTGTCCTTGGAAACATCCAGCACTCCACTCTTGCCGAGTTGAGCTTTCAGTTCCTCTTCAATGTTTGACGGCTCCCAATATGGTCCCTCCTCATCATACGCCTCACAGTCATATTCATAGTGTGGCCCTAGCACAAGTGGCTTGTCATGTAGTATTGGGTTGCTGCCACTCCCAATGCTGACATAGCTGGGTTGAAACGACCCCAAGTCTCTCGTTTGCGCTTCGCTCTCAGACAATAGCGGATCCTATGAAAATATTATTCAGTTTTCACCTTGTTGACACATTAATAATAATAGTTGCATCATTGTGATACGTATATATACCATGTATGGTTCTCCAGCCCAAGTATTACTCGTCGTATTAAGTGAAAAAGAGTAGCTGTTTGAAGAATCCTGCAGGTTAGTGTAATATAATATCTGTCCGAGCACATTAATTGGAACAGCATAACATTGTGTTGTAGTGCTGCATGTGACCTCAGCCAAAGTTTGCATGATGTGCATTAACCAAGCTCTTAGCGTGCATTATAATTATTATGGTGTGCATGTGACAAAAGAAAAGAATTGATTGGCTGAAGGTCACATGAGCAGCACAAAGGTAAAACACACCACTCCCACAGGTGAGGCTGGGGGTCCCAAACCAGTCTGAGGCTCTAGTAGGGCCTCTTTCACCACTTTTGGGTTTTCACTCTGGCTTCTGTTGCCCCGCCGTGCATTGTGTGCCCTGTAAACGACCCACGCCACGACAATGCAGAGCATTGAGCAGAGAAGAACGACAATAAACACTGAGAGTGTGATGGTAATTGTTGTGGAGTCTGAAGGCGTAGCTGCAAGGAGAGAGAGAGTTCAAGTGAGTCAGTGAATCTTGGTGTAGACGCTCGACAGAGAAGAACTGTGGTGTATTCAAAACTCACGTGTAGATTTATTGAGCTCAATTGTAGGGGTCGCAGTCTGGAGGGTCCCCTCAATTTCTGTGGAAAACAACGAAGACATTTAGCTACAATAATAGTATGGAAAGGACAAGTTTAAACTTACGTGGTCTTATGTAAGCTTCAATAGCAAGCATGCCACAGAGTTCCTGTGAGGTGATGAAATCGAGGTCATTGCTGTATTTGATACATGACGTGACGTCAGTGGTTTCAAAGACTGGGAGAAATGGACAGAATCTCATATTTTCCTCAGTAACGCATTCTGTCACTTCAAATACAATGAAATCTTCAACCATCACCTCCAGGTCCAGACTTTTCTCAAATTCACCAATTCCGTTATTGTCATTGCAGTCTCCAGTAATAGTGGTGATGTGGTTTGGAATTGTCTCGTGAATCCTAGAGTATGGATTCCTGCGGGCAATGTGTAGCCGCATGCTGTACTGAATCCTCCCATCTTGTGGACTGTCGTCTGATAAACAAACGCCCCGTCCCGAGACAGTCTTCAGTGTTCCAGTGCAAGGGATCGGTCGGGGAGGAGCAAACAGGCCCGGTGTCAGAGTGGGGACACTGACATTGTCATTCTCTTGTGACTCGTAGCCTCTCACAATGCAAACTAGAGAGCAAAACACTAAGTATGGCTAAATTAGTTCTCCCTCAGATAATCATGTATATTTTAGTGGCCCACATGCACACTGTCTGCTGGGTCAAATATTGTTTACGTAATCTATAATAGATACCCAGGAAGCTTTGCCTGGGGATGTGGTGTAAGAGTATAAAATAAGTAGACTGAGAAGTAATTGATCTATGCCTGCAAAACTCTTGTAGGACAGGGTTGTATAAAACATGGACTTTTGACTACTAAATATAACTTACGTGGTTGTACGTGAGCCTCAATAGCAAGCAGCATGCCACAGAGTTTCCGCCTGGTTCTCAGATCGAGGTCATCACTGTGTAGGATACATGATGTGCTGTCGGAAGATTCAACAACAGGGAGAAAAGGACAGACTGTCATATTTTCTCCAGTAGAACATTCTTCAACTTCCACTACAATGAAATCTCCTGCCAACACATTCAGGTCTAGACTTTTCTCAAATTCACCAATTCCACTATTTCCACAATGTCCATTAATAGTCGTGATATAATTGGGGATTGTCTCAAACGTCTCTAAGTCTGGGTTGAAACGGGCAATGTGTAGTCTCATGCCATACTGAATTGTCCCCGCGTCATCCTGACTGTGATGTGAAAGGCACACGCCCCGTCCTGAGATGGTCTCCAATATTCCAGTGCAAGGGATTGGCTGGGAAAGGCCAAACAGTCCCGTTGTTAGACTGGGGACTCTGGTGTTCTCTAGTGATTCGTAGCCTTTGACGATGCAAGCTAGAGAGCATAACAGCAGTGGTAATAATAATTGAGCTACGTAGCTACGCTGCTCAGGCGCGCGAGCTTACCTATGCAGGAGTCTGTCAGGCAGAGAAGACCTGTGATAAACGCAAGCCACTTCCAACTGACCATTGAACCAGTAGCTCAAAATCTTAAAATCGTCTTCACAAAGAGATACTAACAGGCGTGTGTATGCGTACGGCCCGCGCGCGCTTGCGCATATAGGAACGTGCCGTCAATGTGCTGTGACATTTACTTAGGCTTATCTAGCTAGCTCTAATATGATCCAGTGGGCGATGAGGCAGGTGCAGTATGTATCGAGATATCAGCACTTTATTATTATTACGCTTTCTGTGAAAACTTGTGCACATCAGGAGTCTCAAACCGTTTTGGCACAACCTCCCTCTTCTATTCACACCAAGACTACACAACAGCCAAAGTGGTCCACCTGCCTGCAAATGTTCTCAGAACGATAGCAAATAAAAAGTGGTGGCTGAGTAGGGAGTGGCGTTTGCAAAGGGACAAGGAAAGAAGAAATGTCTGTTATGGAGTACTATGCTGCGTAACTGACCAAAGTACTTAGATATTTCCTATAGTATCAGTGGATGGTGTTGTGAATAGATTTTGGTGCTATTCCACAACTTTGTCCAGTGAATCCAGAGCGTTGTATACACAGAAGCCTAGCCTGTGAAAAGCCTAGCGAGCCAACGATATGTGCATGCGATCGTGAAATACTCCATTAACAACTTGCACCTTGGAACCACGAAGATTGGAAAGGGGTACAGCCTCGGTCAGGCACCGAAGAGTACATCGAATGCCGCCGAATGGACAGGAGTTCCCTCGCTGACTAGATCACATCGAGGATCGTGAGCGCGTAATCCAAACGCATGCGCAGTTACGCGCCGCTAAATCGCGGGCCACGCCCCCCGTGGCTCCACACACACACACACGGCTACGGCTGGATCCCTCGGCGAGCATGCGCAGCGAGGGTTATATACGGTAGTTGCTTTGTCTGTCTGCTCTGTGTGTCGACGCTTATTCTGGCACTACAGGCTACGAGGCGGCCCATTAGCGATGCCAGAGGCTTCAGAACTACGCGAGCCTAAAAGGGCGATTTTGCTGAAACGACTGCGTTCGAGAGATATGGCCGTGAAAACAAGCGAAAAAGCCAATATGCACTGGGCTTACCGCGACCTCTGTGGGCTCAGGAAGTTACGAAGAATGGCATG